GTATAGGACTTGTACACTGACACTATGAAACATTGTTGAAAGAAATTAAAGATCTAAATAAGTGGGAAGACATTCATGGTCATGGAACAGAAGACTTAATATTGTTGAGATGGCAATACTCCCCAAATTGAACTACAGATTCAATGCAATCTCTGTCAAAAGTCCTGCTGGCTTCTTTGCAGGAATTGACAAGCTGATTCTTAAATCCATATGGAAATCCAGGGGATCCAGAATATCCAGAATATTCTTGAAAAGAAAATCAAGTTGAAAGACTCACACTTTCTGATTTCAAAATTTAAAACAAAGCAACAGTAATCAAGACAGTGGAATAGCTGGATCATCTGGTGGTTCTATTTTTAATTCTTTAAGAAATCTCCATACTATTTTCCAGAGTGACTGTGCCAGTTTACATCCCCACCAGCAGTGTATGCGTGTCCCCTTTTCTCCATATCCTCTTCAACACCTTTTATTTCTTGTCTTTTTAGTATTAGCTGTTCTGATGGGTGTGAGGTGATATCTCCTTGTGGTTTTGATTTGCATTTCCCTGATAGTTAGTGACGTTAAACATCTTTTCATGTTCGTGAACATGCCTGTTGGTTATCTCTATATCTTTGGGGAAATGTGTTCAATCCTCTGCCCATTTTTTGATTGGGTTGTTTGTTTTTTGTTGTTGAGTCATGTGAGTTCTTTATATATTTTGGATATTAACCTCTTATTGGATATTTGATTTGTAAATATCTAATGCCAATTGGTAGGTTGTCTTTTCATTTTGTTGATGGTTTCCTTTGTTTGGCAGAAACTTTTTAGTTTGATGTAGTCCCATTTGTTTATTTTTTCTTTTGTTTCCCTTGCCTGAGGAGACGTATTCAAAAAGATACTCCTAAGACCAATGTCAAAGAGTGTACTGCCTGTGTTTTCTTATAGGAGTTTTATGGTTTCAGGTCTTCAGTGGATAAATGGATAAAGAAGATGTGGGGTATGTATATACGTATGTATGTAAATACTGCTCAGCCATAAAAAGATGAAATCTTGCCATTTGCAATAGCATGAATGGACCTTGAGGGTATTATGCTAGCTGAAATAAGACAGATGGAGAAAGACAAATACTGTATGATTTCACTCCTATGTGGAAGATAAACACATAGATGCAGAGAACAGTTTCGTGGTTACCAGAGGGGAAGAGAGTGGGGGGAGAGCAAAAGGGTAAAGGGGCACATATGTACAGTGATGGATGGCAACTAGACTTCTGGTGGTGAACATGATGTAGTCTATACAGAAGTCAAAATATAATGATGTACACCTGAAATTTGTGTTATAAACCAATGTTATCTCATTAAAAAAAAGAAAATAGGATATATGCATATAATGGAATACTATTCAGCCTTTAAAAAAAGGAAGTTCTATGGAATGTGGGTACATGGATGAACCTTGAGGGCATTGTGCTAAGTGAAATAAGTTAGTCTCAGAAAGACAAAAGCCGTGTGATTCCACTTATCTGAGGTATCTGAAATAGTCAAATTCATAGAATCAAAGAGTGGAATAGTGGTTACCAGGGGGTGAGGGGAAGGGAAATGGGGAGTTAATAATTAATCGGCATGAAGTTTCGGTCAAGCAAGATGAATAAGCTCTAAATATCTGCTGTACAACATTGTACCTACAGTCCAATGGTAATTAATTGCACACTGAAAAATTGGTTAAGAGGGTAGAGCTCATGTTATTCACCAAAATAAAATAAAATTTTAAAAAAAGGAAAAGAAGTGTGGTATTGTCACAAAGGTAGACATTAGATCAATGAAATAGAATCGAAAGTCCAGTTGTAAACACTCCAATTTATAATCAGTTGATTTTTTTGACAAGGGTGGCAAGACAATTCAATGATGAAAGAATTGTCTTTTCAACAAATGTCTTTTCATCCAAATGCTGGAACAATTGGATATCCACGTGCAAAAGAATGAAAATGGACCCCTATCTTACACAAAAATTAAGTCAAAATGAATCCTAGACCTAAATGTAAGAATTAAAACTATGAAACTCTTAGAAGAAAACATAGGAGTAAATCTTCATGACTTTGGGTTGATCAGTGATTTCTTAGATGTGACATCAAAAGCTGAAGTGACAAAAAATTAGAAATTTGGACTACATCAGAATTAAAAATTTCTGTGCTTCAAAGCACACCATCAAGAAGTGAAAACACAACCCACAGAATAAGAGAAAATATTTGCAGTATATTTATCTGATAAGGGACTTGCATCTAGAATATATAAAGAACTCAACAACTCAATAATAAAAAAGATAACCCAACTTAAAAATGAGCAAAGGATATGAACAGACATTTTTCCAAAGAATGCATATAAATGGCCAGTAAGCACATGAAAGGATGCTCAACAATGTTAATCATTAGGGAAAGGCATGTCAAAATTACAAGATACCACTTCACACCCACTAGGATGGATATAATCAAAGCAGATAATAACAAGTATTGCCAAGGATTTGGGGAAATTGGACTTTCATGCATTGCTGGCGGGAATGTAAAATGGTATAGCTGCTTTGGAAAAGCAGTTTGGCAGTTCCTCAAAACGTTAAAAATAGAGGTATCATATGACCAGCAATTCCACTTCTAGGTATACCCAAGAGAAATTAGAACATACATCCGTATAAAAACCGTATACAAATGCTCATGGCAGCATTATTTGTAAAGCCAAAGGTGGAAACAACCCAAATGCCCATCAGCTGATGAATGGATAAATAAAGTGTGGTATGTCCAAACAGTGAAATATTTGGCTGTAAAAATGAATGAAGTACCAATATAAGCTCCAACCTGAGTGATCCTTGAAAATATTATGCTAAATGAAAAAAGACAGTCACAAAAACCATATATTGTATGATTCCATTCATATGAAATATCCAAAATGGGAAAAGTCTAAAGAGAGATAAAGTAGGTTAATAGTTGCTATGCACTGGGAGTGTAGGGGGTAGAGTGGGGTTTCTTTTGGGAGAGATGAAAATGTTGTAAAATTAGATTGGAGTGATGGTTGCACAACCCTGTGAATTTAATAAAAAACATTGAGTCATATACTTTCAGTGGGTAAATTGTATATGAATTATATTTCAGTAAAGTTGTTTAAAGAAAAGTGATAGGTTCATGGATTGATCAGGTTCGCAGTAGAACCAAGGATTGTTGGAGTTGGAAGATTCATCTTTGTAGATATTGAAATTACTACTTATTATGATAGAAATATTGTTGGAAAGAATGACAGTGAACCAGAAACTAACACCTTGAGAAAATAAGGAGAAATAACCTGAGGGAGAGTAGATAATTGCAACAAGAAAGAGTATTTGATAGTGTAGTTTGATGATAGAAGATGTAAAGCTGAGTGCTTTTTTGATGGAGAGAGGGAGAATGTTCTGAAAGTGGAAATGAGGGACATCTTAGAACACCTGCTCCATGTTCAAGGCCCAAGATACAAGAAGTATGGAAGAGAAATCAAGTACTGCTTGAGAGAGCCCATAGAGGAAGCAGGGTCATCAGTGGAGAGTGTATGTTGTTAATAGGCTTTCATATTGATCATAAAACACTTTTGAAGTGCGTAAGGTAACTTTCTTAATACCTGCAGTTTCCTACATGTACTTTTTGTTCTGTTACCTTTTTCCCTAATTATACATATCTTGAAGCTTGAGTCTGATTTATGAATTACTTGATCAAATTAGTGTTCTTGTTTTCCTATTTAATCTGTTTCACATTGCTAATGTACAAGGCTGCATAATTGGTCATTTCTGATTTATTCATTGTTGTTTGGTGGATTAAAGGATGTGGATACTTGCCAGGTTATAATTCTAATTTACAGGAAGTTTGTCACCTCAGTAGGCTGAAGTCCCTCCAGAATTTTGAGGGAGTTGTTGATTAGTTGTAGGTTAGTAATGATTGCTACTATCCACAGGTATATGGGAAGAATGTGTTCTTTTTCTACATTTATTTATCCTTCCTAAGTCTTCTAACAAGCACAGACATCCTCTTTTATGACTGTTTAATTGTCTTGTAAAAAACGCTTTAGTTCACTTGAAAAGATTTCTCAATACAGAAACATACAGTATTATGAAATAAGCTGCTCATCTTTGAAAATACAGTTCCCAAGAATAACACAAAATTTCTTTTTATCAAGATAATTGGTATGTTGTTAATTATTCATAAAGGTCTTAAAAATCTTAGAGAATCTGATACATAAGTGGATGAATCTAGAGATATAAAATAATATGCCTTAAACAAAAATTATTCAGTAAATACCTCCATTTCTATGTTAGTCAATTTTGGCTGCCCCAAAGAAAGATTTGTGAAAACTGTAGATGTTGCCATTTGTGCCATTGTTGTAAAGTTATTTAATTATTTGCTGCTATTACCCGTGAAGTTAATTTGGTTGCCAAACAATGTGACTTGCACAGTGAGAATCTTGGATTTTTTTAAATTATGCATAAAAATACAAAGGGAATAAATTTATTGCCGTCTGTTATCTTCCAAGCAGGGGCAGTATTAAAAATGATCAGACTGGTGCTGTCATGATGTTAACCATTAAGAAAAGATACTGCTTATTGGATCGTACTGTTACTTACTGACTAACAGTCCTGAATCTGGACATTACATTTGGTGTTTTGTTGTCAAATTTAATTTTAATCCTAAGTCTTCATGGTAGATATTATTTTCTCCATTTTGTACACGAAAACCCTAACAGGTAAAGAGATAAGTAACTTATGCAAGATCACATAGCAAATTGGTAGAGCTGGGATTCAAATATAGTTTTATCTGGCTCTAAAATCTATCATTTTCACTGTTATACTGCCTTGATAAACTTAAAACCCAGCTCTCTACTGTCTGTTAAGAACTGAGTTCACAATAGTATATCACTTCTTGGGAAGAATAGATCATTTGCTATTTTGGAATTTTCCGAAAAATAAGCTTTGTTTCTATCAATACCTCCTAAACATTTTTCTTTCTTCTTATATATTAGGACGTCTTGCATGGCTGGTATACTTAGTTGGGACAGTTGTTGGAGGAAGGTTAACATATACCAGTACAGACGAACATGATGCTATGGATGGAGAATTATCCTGTCGGTATGTAATGGCCATATGATTTGCAGAAATTTACTAAGTAGTTAAGAAATTTAGTTATTGAATAGGTATTATGAGCTAAAGCATTTTGTAGTGGACCTTTTGAGGAAAGTGTTTTTCTTTTTATTGATGGAAAACCAAGGCTTAGAGGTTAAGTAATTTGTAAAAGTCAGATCTCTAATAGGTTGGTATAGTCAAATATATTTTAAACATGTCTTTAAATAGTGTGATGAAGATTTGGGTTTCTTTTTATTTCGTAGGTCGTTTCTCAACTTTTTTTTTTTTTTTTTTTTTTTTTGGTGCTACTGCAGTCATTCTGGGACATGCACATAGTGGCAGAAAATTTGAGTTGCCTCATGTGCACTTTCCAAGCTGAGGTTGAACAGATGCTCTGCTTATTTGTTTCAGCTCTCATACTGTAAATAAGTGTCCTTACTGCTGTCTGTTAAGTGCCATATTTTTTGCATTTTTGTGCTTTTTGCTGATTTTACTGCTTAAAATAGCCTCCCAGCATAGTGCTGAAGTAACTGTCTAATGTTTCTAAGCACAGGAAAGCTGTAACGTGTCTTACAGAGAAAATCCATGTGTTAGGTAAGCTTTGTGCAGGCACGAGTTTTAGTGGTATTAGTTGTAAGTTCAATGTTAATGAATCGATAATATATGTTAAATAAAGCAGTATTTTTTTCCATTTTTTTTATTGAGTTAATGATAGGTTACAGTCTTGTGAAATTTTACTTGTACATTAACGTTTGTCAGTTGTGTTGTAGGTGCACCACTTCACCCTTTGTGCCCACCCCCCACCCCACCTTTCCCCTGGTAGCCACTAATCTGTTCTCTTTGTCCACATTTTTAAATTCCTCATATGAGTGGAGTCATACAGAGATTATCCTTCTCTAACTGGCTTATTTCACTTAACATAATTCCCTCAAGGTCCATCCATGTTATTGCAAATGGAATGATTTTGTTCTGTTTGACAGCTGAGTAGTATACCATTGTATATATATATACCACATCTTCTTTATCCATTCATCTGTTGATGAGCACTTAGGTTGCTTCCACATCTTGGCTATTGTAAATAATGCTGCAATAAACATTGGGGTGCGTAGGACTTTTGGAATTGCTGACTTCAAGCTCTTTGGATAAATACCCAGTAGTGGAGTAGCTGGGTCGTATGGTAGTTCTATTTTTAATTTTTTGAGGAATCTCCATACTGTTTTCCATAGTGGCTGCACCAGTTTGCATTCCCACCAGCAGTGTATGAGGGTTCCTTTTTCTCCACAACTTCTTCAACATTCGTTACTATCAGTTTTAGATATTTTTGTCTTTCTAATGGGTGTAAGGTGATATCTTAGTGTAGTTTTGATTTGCATTTCCCTGATGATCAGCGATGATGAACATCTTTTCAAGTGCCTATTGGCCATCAGTATATCTTCTTTGGAGAAATGTCTGTTCATGTCTCCAACCCATTTTTTGATCGGGTTGTTTAATTTTTTTTTGTTGACCTGTGAGAGTTCTCTATATATTATGGATATTAAGCCTTTGTCAGATATATGACTTGCAAATATTTTTTCCCAGTTAGTGGGTTGTTTTTCTGTTTCAATCCTGTTTTCCCTTGCTTTGAAGAAGCTCTTTAGTCTGGTGAAGTCCCATTCGTTTATTCTTTCTATTGTTTCCCTTGTCTGAGAAGACATGGTGTCCGAAAAGATCCTTTTAATACTGATGTCAAAGAGTGTACTGCCTACGTTTTCTTCTAGAAGCCTTATGGTTTCAGGTCTCAGCTTTAGGTCTTTGATCCATTTTGAGTTTATTTTGGTGAATGGTGAGAAAGAATGGTCAATTTTCATTCTTTTACATGTGGCTTTCCAGTTTTCCCAGCACCACCTGTTGAAAAGACTTTCTTTTCTCCATTTTATGCCCTCAGCTCCTTTGTCGAAGATAAGCTGTCCATAGATGTGTGGTTTTATTTCTGGGCTTTCAAGTCTGTTCCATTGATCTGTGAAGCTGTGTTTGTAGCAGTACCATGCTGTTTTGATTACTGTAGCTTTGTAGTATGTTTTGAAGTCAGGGATTGTGATGCCTCCCGTTGTGTTCTTTTTTCTCAGGATTGCTTTAGCAATTCGGGGTCTTTTGTTGCCCCATATGAATTTTAGGATTCTTTGTTCTAATTCTGTAAAGAATGTCATTGGGATTCTGATTGGGATAGCCTTAAATCTGTAGATTGCTTTAGGTAGAATGGACATTTTAACTATGTTTATTCTTCCAATCCATGTACATGGAATGTCTTTCCATCTCCTTATGTCGTTGTACAATTCTCTCAGAAAGGCCTTGTAATTTTCATTATATAGGTCCTTCACTTCCTTAGTTAAATTTACCCCAAGGTATTTTATTCTTTTTGTTGCGATTGTGAATGGTATTGTATTCTTGAGTTCTTTTTCTGTTGGTTCATTACTGGAGTATAGAAATGCTACTGATTTATGCAAATTGATTTTATACCCTGCAACTTTGCTGTAGTTGTTGATTACTTCTAACAGTTTTCCAATGGATTCTTTGGGGTTTTCTATATATAAGATCATGTCATCTGCAAACAGCGAGAGTTTCACTTCTTCCCTCCCTATTTGGATTCCTTTTATTCCTTTTTCTTGCCTGATTGCTCCGGCCAGGAGCTCCAGTACTATGTTAAATAAGAGTGGTGATAGAGGGCATCCTTGTCTCGTTCCTGTTTTCAGGGGGATGGGGTTCAGTTTTTGCCCATTGAGTATGATGTTGGCTATGGGTTTGTTGTATATGGCCTTTACTATGTTGAGGTAGTTTCCTTCTATGCCCATTTTGTTCAGAGTTTTTATCATAAATGGCTGTTGGATCTTGTCAAATGCCTTCTCTGCATCTATTGAGATGATCATGTGGTTTTTATTCCTCAGTTTGTTGATGTGGTGTTTCACGTTGATTGATTTGTGGGAGTTGAACCATCCCTGTGTCCCTGGTATGAATCCCACCTGATCATGATGTATGATCCTTTTGATGAATTGCAGAATCCTGGTTGCCAAAATTTTGTTTACCATTTTTGCATCTATGTTCATCAGTGATATTGGCCTGTGGTTCTCTTTTTTCGTGGCGTCCTTGTCAGGCTTTGGTATCAGTGTGATGTTGGCCTCGTAGAATGTGTTAGGAAGTGTTCCATCTTCCCTAATTTTTTGGAATAGCTTGAAAAGGATAGGTATTAAATCCTCTCTGAAAGTTTGGTAGAATTCCCCAGGAAAGCTATCTGGTCCTGGGGTTTTATTCTTTGGGATGTTTTTGATTGCTGTTTCAATCTCTTTCCTTGTGATTGGTCTGTTCAGATTGTCTGCTTCTTCTTGAGTGAGCTTTGGGAGATTGTAGGAGTCCAAGAATTTATCCATTTCCTCTAGGTTATCCATTTTGTTGGCATATAGTTTTTCGTAGTATTCTCTTATAATCTGTTGTATTTCTGCAGAGTGTGTTGTTATTTCTCCTCTTTCATTTCTGATTTTGTTTATTTGAGCTTTCTCTCTTTTTTTCTTTGTAAATGTGGCTAGGGGTTTGTCAATTTTATTTATCTTCTCAAAGAACCAGCTCTTTGTTTCATTGATCCTTTCTACTGCCTTTTTCATTTCGATAGCATTTATTTCTGCTCTGATTTTTATTATTTCTCTCCTTCTGCTGACTTTGGGCTTTATTTGTTCTTCTTTCTCTAATACAGTTAGGTGTAGTTTAAGATTGCTTATTAGGGATTTTTCTTGTTTGTTAAGGTGTGCCTGTATTGCAGTGAATTTTCCTCTTAATACAGCTTTTGCTGTTTCCCGTATGAGTTGGTATGGCATATTATCATTTTAATTTGTTTCCAGGTATGTTTTGATTTCTTCTTTAATTTCTTCAATGATCCATTGCTTGTTCAGTAGCATATTGTTTAGTCTCCACATCCTTGTGCCTTTCTCAGCCTTTTTCTTGTAATTAATTTCTAGCCTTATAGCATTATGATCAGAGAAGATGCTTGTTAGTATTTCAATTTTTTAAAATTTGTAGAGGCTTGCCTTGTTTCCCAACATATGGTCTATCCTTGAGAATATTCCATGCGCACTTGAGAAGAATGTGTATTCAGCTGTTTTAGGATGAAGTGATCTATATGCGTCCAGTAAGTCCAATTGTTTTAGTTTTTCGTTTAGCTCCACTATTTCCTTGTTGATTTTCTGTCTGGATGATCTGTCCATTGATGTGAGTGGGGTGTTGAGGTCCCCTACTATTATTGTGTTGTTTCTAACATCTTCTTTTAGGTCTGTTAATAGTTGCTTTATCAACTTTGGTTCTCCTATGTTTGGTGCATAGATATTTATAAGCATTATTTCTTCTTGATGAAGTGTCCCTTTCATCATTATATATTGTCCCTCTGTGTCTCTCTTTACCTGCCTTATTTTGAAATCCGTTTTGTCTGATAATAAGTATTGCAACACCTGCTTTCTTTTGCTTGCTATTAGCTTGAAGTATTGTCCTCCATGCCTTCACTCTGAGCCTGTGTTTGTCCTTGGGGCTGAGGTGTGTTTCCTGGAGGCAACAGATTGTTGGATCTTGTTCTTTAATCCATTTTGCCACTCTGTGTCTTTTTATTGGAGAGTTCAATCCGTTTACATTGAGGGTGATTATTGATGCATGTGGACTTAATGCTGTCAATCTGTCGCTCGTTATCTGGTTTTCCTGCGTTGCCTTTGTTTCTCGTCCTGTGTGTTTTAGCCTACCCATTGACTACTGCAATTTCTTATGCTGGGTTTCTTAGATTTTTCCTTATTTATGTCTTGTGGCTCTGTTCTGTTTTTTAGTTTAGTGGCTACCCTGAAGTTTGTATTTATATAGTCTATACTCTGGTGGTCTCTTACTTACTTGGCCTAGACTAATTTAGTCCCTTTGCTCTTCCCCTCCTAAGTTATTATTTCGCTTTTTATTCCAACTCGTGTTATGAGTTTGTAGTTAGAGTGATAAGATCGTCTTTGCTT